AAACTGAAGTTTTACTAGCGGAATAAAAGTCCACTTGAAGCTACTTTAAAATTCAGAATAAAAAACTGTTGAGTTATAAATAACAGCAATTCATTAGACGATTTTTGACTATTTTGCTGAGTGCCATTAAAATATTTGGTTACAGCCAGCGACCGGTTGCTAATCCACTTAAACCTGGCTGTTGATTTTATAGCTAATCATAAAAGGCCGGAATGTGTGGCGTCTTTGGAAATTGATTATCGATGATCTGACAAATAAAACGAATGCAGCATTTAGCAGCCGTAAATCTTCAAGGACAGACAGCAGCCACGAGTCAGTCATCGCTGATGATTTAACGATACCCAAAGCATTTAATTGCCATTCGACAGATGACAACTATTTTCTCTCTCTCATTCTGCTGCCTATTAACAGAGACAAACGAATGGAAGAACTTGTATCGTTTGCTTTTAACGAGAAGCCAAAGGTCGTCCAAATGATTTTATGTGACAATTTTCAACGCTCTGTTCACTTAGAGGTGGGAATGGAGTTGGCGTTGAAGTTTCGAGTTTGGTTCGGAAGCAATAACAAGTTTCAATTTCGTTGAATGCTCAGTCGAAGCCGAAGACACCTGCAGTGTAGGAGGAGTAGACGGACCATTTTCGTGGCCTTTTTCAAATTGAAAACGTGTCCAACAGCAGTCATCAATTTTTAAACACGAGTAATCACTTTGTAAACGTTACAGAGACCAGGCCCACTCGTCCCAAGTAACTTGCCTACGCCTCTGGGGGTTGGCTTATCCAATGAACAAAACTCACTCTGAGCCCTGAGCCTCTGGACACGCTCTGTCTGGCTGTACGTATTTGGTCTGACAAGTATGCCTCAAATTTCTCTATCGAGTGTGGCGTTACGGGCCGGGCAGGGTCGCTTGATTTTCAAATTTCGGCACGTAACTACGCAAAGTTGCACACATTTTTATACAATTTGTTGCATGCATAATTCAGCAGGACAATCGCCAGGATTCGGGCGCATCAACTGAATATCAAGCGCATATTGTGGTGGATTTATGTTTTTGAGCCGGGGTAGACGTGGCTCCCAAATACACTTGGTCCTTTGGCAGCTTAAGCTTCCGTGCATATGCTATGGAATTATGATGAGTGGAAGTGGAGGAAGTGGAGTGAATTGCCCGGGCGGTAAATTGTATTACTTATATGTTTCAAGTGCCATGTATCAAGAGATGAATTCGAATTGGCCAAATGTCTACCTCGAAGTATGAAAACGAGAACTTAATTGATGAAAAATCGATCATCTGCTTATTTATTAAAAAGAAAGTTAGTTTAACACACTACTATTTTACTTATACTAATAGACTTTCTGGCAGACAATATCACAAACAATGCATTCACAAGGCTATTCGGTTTGTACTTCTTCATTATCTGCAAAATTGATTTGAATTTAGGCTACATTTTAAATTGTATAGTTTCAAAAATCTCTTTAACATCTGTTCCACTGTCAATTGCCAGTTGCTTTACAAATGGATGACCCAAAGAGACCGAATTCAAATAAAGAAACCGATAAACCGACAAAAACAAACCCGAGACATTCAAACAACATTATGAGCATGTTAATCTATTGAAATAGGCGCCATCATTTGTCTATCAAATCGAGCGAAACTCATGGTATTCGCAATCTGAACTTTGAATACCCCAGGCCTGCCAACATTTAATTGATGTTTGGTCATTCGCGTTTTGTATTTCTAGATTTTTGCAGTCGCACTAAACTCAATACTGAAAACGAAACCGAAACCAAATCCGACACTCGGAAAGCAACTCGTCGAGCAAATAAGCAAATTTATTAAATTCTCATTTATCAACATCATAAATCAAAGTTTTTAGCCGTGGCGCTCGGTTTTCAGCTTTTAGTTTTCAGTTTCAGTTTTGAATTTGTCAGCTGCGCGTAGAGCTACAACAACAACAACAACATCAACAATGGCAGCAAAACAATAAAAAAAATATATATGCTTCAAATGATCTATCAACAGTTGCCGTTTGGCGTTGATGTTTCTGGTTTTTGTGAATATTTTGATATTTTGATATTTTGTATTTTTTATGGCTCTCCGCTCGTCTCTACGCTTTTATGACTAGTTAATTTTGCCTGTTTTTGATTTTGATTTGGCATTTTATTGTTGTTGCTGTCATTGCTGGCTGGCTTTTATTGGGCGCAATGAACTATAAAAACGCGCGAATGCCTCAAAATTGCACTGCACTTGACAACTTACTGATGGACGGACAGTCTAAACGAACAATTGAATGAATGAATGAATGACGCACACAGGCACACAAATGCCAACATTCGTACGTGCACATACATACAGTATAGTATTTACGTATGAGTGAAACTCGCCAATCTATCAAAAACTGTGCCTCACTTTTCCTTTCAGCTTGACCTTTGCCAGCTGTCAAAATGGCCGTTGCAAGTGTCAAACGCTGCCGTTATTGTTGCTGTAGTTGGAGTTGCTTTTGACAGGCACCGGTCGTCAGTCGGCAGTCGGCAAAAGTGCGAAAAATGATGTGCTCGCAGCAGAGGCAGCAGAGGCAGCGGGGCAGCAACAACAACAACACCAATGACAACAAAACGCGGCTTTGAACTACTAAATCATTTTTGACAGTTAGCGGCGCTGCGACTGCGACGCCGGGGAAAGCCCCAAGCAGCGCAGTCGACGTCAATGTGTGTGTGTGTGAGCATACTTTAACCATGACCTTGAACGCTATTACACGTACACACACACACACACACAGATACACATTGCTTTTGTTTATGCAATAAATTAAAAGCAATAATTTTTCATCTTGAGGCAGCCAACAGCAGCAACAGTTGAAAGTTCGCCCGCTGCGGCACAGCGCATTAATTTTGTGTAAAGTTTATACACCAATACCCCACACACACACACACACACACACACACACACGAATACACTTGTAGAGAGGGTGAGAGAGGGGAGCAGCCGCAGCAGCAAAAGTGATAAAGCACCGCCGCGACATTGGCAGCAACGTCGACGCCTGGGCAGACATTGTTTTTAACTCGCTGCGACTGCGTCGCCGTCTCTCGCTGTCGTTCTCTTTCTCTCTCACTCACTCTCTCATTCAATACGCGCAAAAACAATAATTCAACTTGTGGCCGTCAGTATATATGTGCGTGTGTATGACTGTCTATGTGTGTCTGCTCCACATACGGGTAGAGGCCAGGCACAGGTTCAATGCACGCTTTGCGCCTGCGCAGGGCAAACAAATTGCAAGCGACACACACAAGCACATCCAAACAAATGCTTTTCTCCCTCTCTCTGTCACTCTCACACTCTCTTTGTCTTGCACTGTGCCATTAATTCTAGCGCTCGCCGGCTTGTTTGACAGTTCTGACAGACGATTATTTAAAGTTGTGCTTAAATGCGCTCACTCTCTCTCTCTCTCGCTCTCACTTTATGTGAATGCCGCTTTCGTTCTGTGTGTCTGTGTTTGTGTCTGGCCCTGGCCGTGGCCATTGCATTTGTTCATATTGTTGCTGTTAATATTGTTGTTGTTCTTATTGCTGTTCTTGTTGTTGTCATTGCTCTTGTTGTTGTTGTTGTTGTTGTTGTGGGCGCACATAAGTCACACACAAGCGTGTTCCAGTTCGGTCCTTGTGCCGCTCTACGTAGCTTATAATACAAATTACACTTTTTGGCATATTTCATTTTCATTTTGGCATTTTTTTTGGGTTTTGTTTTTCGCTCCGTCTGGCAGGGCCTAAAAACTTGTGTCTGGCAATGTTTACTGGGTTACTAGGTCCTGGTCCACAGAAACCCAAATTAATAGCGTCTAACGGCAACGGGGCGTATGGTGTATGTTGTAAGGTGTTTGATGTTTGGTCTTTAGCGTTTGGGCGATGTCGTCTGGTCATTGCCTTTGCGTTTGAGGCAGCTACTGGCAGACAAATTTTACAACTATTGCTAATTTTAACGTCCTTATTGATTTTACACGCCATTCCTCAAGTTAACGCTGCGTGGCGTCATAAAAAGAGATGCCATACCCAAAGGAGAACACAACGGACAGCTGCATTGTGTTATTCTCTGTCTTTTGGTTTTTATGACGCTCGACGCTTAGCAGAGGCAACAAGCAGACTATAAATCAAATTTCCATCAAAAATCACGTGCCAGGCAAACGCTTAGTGGGTTAATTGTTGTTGCCGCTGTGGCTGCTGCTTATTAATGAAAGCGAAAAGCACTGCTTATATAATCACGGCAAGGGTCTGGATCGTAGCCAGCTATCGGCTGGCAACAATCAAACTGTAAACTGCCACTGCGCACAGCGCGGACGCCGATTTTCACATCAAAATTGGCACAAGTTCATCATCATCATTATTGTGAGGAGCAGCAGCGGAGTGGAGTGGCAGCAGCGCTGATAGTCACTACTGCTTGGGGGTTGTGGGTAGGCGTGGCATGCACGTTGAAAGCTCAGAGACCGCCAGTGTGTTCAATTTATGAGCCGCAGACAGTCTGCCCTTTTTATAATCGATTGTAGTTTTTAATTAAAATTTAACTTTATAATGATTTTTTATCAGCTGCTCCTACTGCTCCTACTGCTGCGACTTGTGCTGCAGCCGCCAGATCTGTTTAAGTCTAAATTAAAAAGAAATTTCTCATTTTAAGCGAAACGGCCAACAGGAAGCGGCCTCGGCGCGCAAACTGGGCGTGAGCCAGCTTGAACGTGATCGGGCAGCAGGAGCGAGCGTTTAAGCGAGCCGGCAAATAAGGATTAGTGAGAGACAGCCCGACAGACTGACCAACAGACAGCCCGACAAAGAGACAGACAGACATCAAAGTTTGATCGCTGGCCAACTTGCTAAGTTGATTAATGTGTGAACCAGCTGGGGCCACGTGTGCGGAAGCTGAGAAGCTGACAAGCTGAGAGCGGCTCCATAAAAATGAAAATGCACGCGATACTAAATAATGCTATGTGTTAAATGACTTAATGTGAAATGTGACTTACCATCGTATGTTAGTTCTGAAGGATTGAGTGATGATAAGAACTTACCATCTGCAAATAGAAACAAGAACCATAATAAATTAATGCCACTTTCAATTTAATGCACATTTTGTATTAATTAACATTTTAAAAAAATGGGAGATATGAGAAAAGTCCACATAATGCAGCTAAAATAAATAAATAATTTTCAAAATTTGCCAGCCTCTATTGTTTTTCTGTTTTTTTTTTTTTATTTTGTCTATGGTGTGTGCACAACTTTCACAGTGTCTACACACGCATATGTATATTTTTTGTTTTTATAACGCATTATTGTTATTAATTCGATTATTGTGCAGCATTTAATTTAATACGCTCCATGCCGCATTATGCACAATAATTATTTTAAATTCACTTTGACAAGCAGTTTTATTGACCGCTGCCTCCCACCGCACCTGCTGGCCCCGCGCTATTGCCATTTTGCAATGTTAATTTTAATTTAATATTTTAACAATGTCTCGTGTTTTAATTTGGCTTGCGGCTTAACGTGTTTGTTGTGGCGTTGTTGTCGTTGTTATCATGCAACAAAAATGCAAATTAACGCACAGATTTACATTTTTTTTAATTTATTTTTTTATTGTTGTTATTTGTTTGTTTGTCTATTTGAAAATATTTATAGCTGTCATGGGTAATTTTTTCTTTTGCTTTTTTAGCTTTTTGTTAGTTTGCAGAATGTTTGTTTTGCACGCATTTCATTTCAATAAATTATTTAATTTTTATTTAAGTCTTTTTGTGCTTTTTATGCACATTTTTGCATTTTATGGCATATAAAATGGCATTTTAAGCCAATCATATGGTGCTCGTAAACCATTTGCTGTGCCAAAACAATTTTCTGAATATTAACTAGATGGTGGAATCCCTCGCTCCAAAACGCTTCTATTTAAATTTCAGTGTGTACGTTTAATAATATTCCATATATTCTATGAATCATAATAATAATAATAACAATATAATATTCAAAATCAGCTTCATATGATGTATATGGGTATATGGAATGTATATATGTGTATCTATGTTTCTATATACTATATACCACTGCCTGGGACAATTCAGAGGGTATTTGGGTGTAGTTCATTTAAGCACGAGTTGTCCTTGTTTCGTCTACTATGCTGCTTCTTGCTGTTTTTTGGTTTTAGTTGTAAATAAATCAATGATAATTAACCTTCTGTAGCGCGTAGAAATAATTTTACTGTCAATGTTGTCAGCACTGACAGTCGAACATCTTAAATCATTTTGTTCCTGTTGTTCAGCGTGCTGTAAAAGAGACTCGGGACTCGGAGCTGACACTGACACCGACGACTGGCAAAAAGCAAATCGAAATGAAATTAAAAAGCGCAACAGCGACAGACACTAAACACGGTTAAATGAACAACGCGCCCCGAAAATGCCAAATGCGCAAAATAAAATGCCAATTCGCACTCGCAATCGGGCCAGAAGAAGACCGACTGCGACTGCACTGGACTGGGAACGGGAAATGTGCTCGGCACTGAGCTACGGGTGTTGGATTGGAGGTCTCGCGACAAAACACCTTTTCAAAATGCGCACAGCAAACGGGCTGCGGACAGCGGACAACGGACAACGGACAACGCACAACAGACTGTGGACAGAGAGCAGCAATGGGGCCTCGATTTCTGATGCGTAGACGTCAAAAACGCTGTGGTGGCAATTAAATGCCTTCGACGCGATGCGACGCTCGTTGCCAACGCCTCAGCCTCTGCTTCAGTGTATGCCTCAGCCTCTTGGCTGCCTGTTGGCCAACTCAGTGGCGGTCACAAATAACGCCCAAATATGGCGCAATTTCATTCGCAACGCAGCGCATCGAATCGATTGCCGATGCCACCGATGCCGATTCATTTCAATTCGTTGCGTTTCGATTTATTTATCACCTGTCGTTGGAAATTGAAATTGCATTTCGCTCGACGTAGCGACTTCTTTTCGAGCTGCGTCTCCGTTTTGACTTCTTCTTGAGTCGTTTCGTGTTTCATTGTGCTCTGTTTTTTGTTTTTTTTTTTTCCTTGCCTTTGAGGCCATCGGCCCTGGTAATCATTGTCAACAATTAATGAAAGCCATTGTGGGCGTGGCTGCCTTTTAATGAACAGCGCAGCACAGCACAGCACAGCGGCTGACACATTCCACTCCACTCTTTACGCTCCCTCACTAAATCTCTACCTCTCTCCCTTGATAACTGCCCATACAAGCCAGGGCTTTTCTATTAGAACGGACAGTGCAGAAAAAAAGAAAAGAAAAAAAAAATCTCATCAACATAATGTAAGACTCTGCCCGGGGTGATAATGAGCTATAATGGAGTTGGCCAAGACCTGTGCAGACCTGAGCCGCGAATCTCGTGAACGCAGTTGCCTCTTAAGAGGCTCTTAATGCCGCTTGGCTTGATTTTCATTTTAGCCCTTTACTTTTCTTCCTCTTCTTTATATATATTTTTTTTTTGCATATTTAAAAGCCTGAATTCATTCGTTGATCGACTAATCAGCAGGCAGGAGGAAAGAAAGTCTAGAGATGAGACCCAGACTCAAGTTGAACGGCTTATCAATGCACTTTGCCGTGCTACACGTAAACTTACTTTACATGCGTTAACTTTCGATAAGCGCCAAGTAGAGAGAAGAAGAGCGACAGAGATCAAGAGAGAGCAAAAACAATGGCAATGCCTGGGCCGATGCCGAAAGTCAGCCTGATAGCGCATAGAATTGATTTAAATCGTTGTACTTTGCATATTTTGTGCATTTTGTTGAGAAGGATGTGCGCCGTGTGCTGTGGACTGGCGTGATAGGCGGCCTACAAGTTGCAGCTGAAGTCGCAGTCATTAGACCGGCAATTGACCAGGCCCCAAAAGACTAAAGCAACCAAGTTTCGTGCTAGCGCGCGCTTTTACGCTTTGCTGGAGTCGAGCAAGCACGAGGCGAGGACTGGGACTAAAGCTTGGATATGGACTTGAGCTCGCTGTGGGTTTGGTTACTTGCTTGGTTGGCTTTGCTGTGGCACGCGGACTTTTGTAGCAGACAAAATTGTCGACAAATAGTTTACACGGGCATGAAATTGTGCTGGCCAGACATAGGGCCCAAGAATGTTGTTGATGTTGATGTTGTTGCGGTTACAGGAATGCACATAGCTCAAAGTAGTTGCTAACAAAACATTTGGATTAAATGATTGAGTGCAGCATGCAACAACAGGCAATCGTATTGGAAATGCAATAAAAATTTAGCAAGAGCAAGTCAGCACCTGAGAAGCTCATAGAGCGGCGCACGAATGCTGTGTTAGCTTGAGAAGCGCAGAGAAAGGCTGGCTAACTGGGTGGCATTTTGATTTTCCTTGGCATTGTTTTGTGACATTAAACAGGAATGTTAATTAATTTGTGTGTGTGTGTGTGTGATAGAAAAAACACTGAGAGCTGAGAGCTGAAAACGCGTCCGGGTGCAGTCATTAATTCATATCAAAAGGGTAATTGAAAACCGCATAAATTAAGCAAAATGCACTTTTTATGCTCGCTACTCCCGTTGTTGCAAATTCATGTGTTATCCCATTGGGAATGCGCGGCTTTGACATTTGGCTGCATTATAGTTTAATCTTATTAAAATATTTATATTTATTTAAAATATGCATGCAATTTGTTAATTTAACTGCCGCTGCGTTTGCTGTTTCGCATTTATTTATGCCACGAGCTTTTTTTAATTGTCATCTTTGTCGTTTTTTTTTTTCTTTTTTTTTTGTTTTGCTTTTGTTTTTGTGGCAGCCACTGCGCTTAATTGCATTTCGCATATGAATTAATGAATTTTTTATCAGCGTATACACATGCACCGCCTCCATCGACTCAAATATGCAATACATACCCCTGCGCAAACATCATTTATTTCATTTTGTTTTATTTTATATTATTTTTTCATGCCAACTGATAATAGAATAAAACCAAAAACAAAACAAAAAAAATACAAAATAATATATATATATAAAAAAAACATGCGCCAACCGCAGCGATTTTTGTTTTCATTGAATTTATTTATTTTTTATACTGCCTACATTTAATTTCATTTGTGGTTGCCTTTGGGAAAGGGATAGCTATATGCATAATAGTGCAAAAAAGACCGCAATAGAGCTTAACGGAAACTGAACAGGCAAATCGCATAAAGAGTTATGTAATTGATGGCATATGCTAATTCAAGAGGCCAGCTACATTCTAAAACCTGTTCCAGAACATTGTTAAGCACATTGATAAATGTGTGTATTTCTCCGAATTCCCATTTTCTTATCAGATAGCTTGATCTGCTTTCAAGAGCAAAAACGCACACAATTTATCTATTTCCAGAGGAATTTTCCTCGAAAAGGGTTAATTTCGTAGCGCATGTGACACAAATTTCCTAGTTTCATTAAAACGCAATTAATATGGCCTTTCAGCACATTTATGCTGTGGGCAACAGTATATCCAGTATCTTGGCTCTTTACAAAAATTAGGGTGCGTCATAATTAATAATACCCTGTGCTCGACAATTACGCACATGGGCCAGAGCATTTCATTAACTTTACATTAAATGTGTTTGTGCGGCGTTCGACACTAAAAAGGCAACGCAATGCAAGTGCACAGAGCCAAAACACTCAAGCACACGTGTAAGCAACAACGACAACCAAACAACAACAAAGGTAAGTCGACTATACACACATGCATGCAAGTTCGAAGGTATGTGCCTGTACATATAACTCAATCCATTAACGTTTTGATAAAGGATCTTTATGACGACACTCCAAGCGACGGCAGCAATCATCATCAGTATCAGCAACAACAACAGAAATTGCTTTGGTACGTGTCAGTTGGTAAGAAAACACACACACACACTGACACACAGAGACACACACAGCACACACATCGAGTGAAAAGTAATTGCGTTTAAATGCGTTTACATTAAGCCAAAATGCAGGCCGAGCCAAGTCGGACAGTTTGGACAGTCGCTTGGCCTAATTGCAGTACGGGATATCCATTTCGATGTGTTTGTGTGTGCGTGCGTGTATCT